ATCCGAACCCGTGGCCTTGGTGTTATCAGCACCGCACTCTCCCGAGTGAGCCACAGGCCGGCCTGTACTTGGCTTTTAGACGTGGTGGAAGAAAGACATATAGACTGATGAGACTTATAAATTGACAGTGACAAATGTGAGTATGGGTTTTTATAAGTAGGTGGCAACTTCCAGGAAAATAAAAATAGAATGTATAATTTTCATATCAGGAAAATAAAATTTAATCTATCCAAAGCAAGGTATGGCAGACAATAAAAGGAAATAAGGTGAAAATATGATAAACAGAAAAAATTTAAGATGGCAGAAATAAGTCCTAACAGTACAGAAATTACAGTAAAATAAATGAGGTAAACTCACTGCTGTGGACTGGATGTCCCCCCAAGCTCATTGAGACTTAACCCCCACTATGACGGTGCTAAGAGGGTGGAAATCCTATTATGGTAATTGAAAGGTGGGGCCTTGAAAAGGTGATTAGAATGTGAGGACCGTGCCCCAGTAAATGGATTAATCCATTGATAATTTAATAGAGATCATGGGTGTGGTTCTGATGGGTTTAAAAGGAGAGCACGTGACGAGTGCCTCTCTTTCTCTCTCTCTCTTTTCTGCCATTTGGCCACGTGGCACCCTTCATTGCTGTCACCACCCACCAACAAGGTCCTCACCAGATGTGTTCCCTGGACTTTGGACTTCCTGGCCTCTAAAGCTGCAAGCAGTAAATATTGTTCCTTTATAAATTGCCCAGTTTTGGGTATTTCTGTTATAAGCAACAGAAATGGATTGATACACCCACTGATCAAAAGTTAGAGGCTCAGATTACATTTTTTACACTAAAAAATATGTGGTCCACAAGAGGCATTTAAACAAAACAACATAGAAAGTATGAAAAGTCATGAGTCGAAGAGGGATATTATATACTGGTAAAAGGACAACAGATCAAGAAGTATAATCATAGCATGCGTGCATCAAACACATCGTAAAATATATTAAGCACCGATTGATACAACTACAGAGAGACCAGAAAAATTAAATATTTTAGCTAATCAAGCAGAAAAATAAGCAAAGATACAGACACTCTGAATGACACAACTGATAAGTTTGTTTTAATGCATATACCTAGAACCAGGCACTCAATCATTAGAGAAAATACGTTCTTTTAGAACATGCATAAATCATTCAGAAACCAACCATAACCTAGAGCGTAGAGAAACTCTCAATAGATCTGCAGGAGTTAGCATCATACAGACTATGTTCTCTGCTGATAATGGAATAAAATTGGAAATAACAAAATAACGAAAGAGCTTAAAACCCCCCAAATCTTCACATGTCTGGAAACATATCAATGATACTGCTAAATAACCTTTGTATTAAAGAGGAAATCATAAAGTAATTACTAAATACCTAGAGCTAAATTACAATAAAAGCACTACATGTAAAAATCTGTAAGGAGAAAACCTAGGTGACTTTGGGTGTGAACT